TCTCCCGGCTCACCGGAACCATGTTCGTTGCCTACACGGTTCTCGTCAATCATTTTTTTTAAATGACAAACTTCAAAGGCAAAGGTTGTTTTGGTTGAAAAATAAAAAGATCTCTGGTTTCTCTTTCAAACTTAAAAGCGCATTCTTAAAGCGCTCGGTAAACTCAGTTAAACTTGGGTAAACTCTTCCACATGGCAGTGATAATGTCTATATTTCCTTCAAATACAATAAAAACACATGGTCGCTACAGTGGGTCAAGTTGAAGCGTTGTAAGGATAGACGGCAAGGATAGCTTTCAGAGGACCGTGGTGGATAAGAAAAGGCTATTGAACAGAAAAATCGCTTTCCAGCGGATGATTGTTAAAAAAAAAATTCACGGCACTATCCGTCATATAGAAATTTATGCAGGGGATGGCGTCATCCACTCCTCTAACAACCGACGCCAGAGCTACTGTTCCCTTTATTAATTCGTATAGGCGAATATAGCGGGCCTGTTCATTTCTTTAAAAAATTAATTCAATGCCACTTTGCAGAGAGAACTTGCACAGATGCTTTTACAAAATTTCTCTGTTAGAACAGGAACCCATTCGGAAAAGAAAACATCGAGAGATTACAAGAATTGAATTTTTTTCCGAATCAAACTTTCTCATTTAAAAAAGTCACATCTTTTCGTCATTCATGTGAGCTTATTTAACATGAGCTTCGTCCTCTTAAACCTTCTAAATCAAAAGTCACCTCAAACACGCTCTAAAAAAATCAGCAAGTCGACATTTCTCTCAAGACGTGATTATATCCACAATAATTCAAATCATTGGCTAAGAATCCTAGAACCCGATTAGTAACGGGACATGCTTCACTGCAACCCACCGGAGCTTTTCCTCTTCAGGAATGTTTGTCACGTACGCGATGATGTTATAGGGTCTTGTTTAGAGCTTGCCTTAAGAACAAATCATTTTCTACCCTTATCAAACAGAGAAAATTAAATCTAAAAGAAAAATATATTCTTGAAAGAATAAAGAAGAATTTGCTCGAATGAAGTATTTTGTTGCTGTGCTACGTGATAGAGCAACATTGATAACATATTCGTTTTAGGGTGCACATGCTGCGTTACAAAATCGTTTCATCAACGAGACAATCTTCAGCGCTTTAAACCGGATGTGGCCAGACTATTTATCCGTACCCTTGCATCTTTAAACGAAATTAATACCCTCTTTGAAGAGGTGGAGCTACCGTATACACAAACATCACAATTGCTGAAAGGAATAAAGGTGAACTAGATCTTAGAGTTCAGTTTTATTTTGTTTCAGCGTAGTTCAGTTCTTATTTCTAATCCGAAGTATGGGTACAGAAAACTTTGTTTTAAAAACGAGACGGCTGCTGGTTCCAGAAAAAAAACGTTCAGGAGAGACAAACGGTAGTGCAATTCGGAAAAATATAATTAGGCCAGACAACAGAAAATTATTTCTTTATTAAGAGGCACTCGAAACCTTGAGATGGGAGACACCAGATACGTGCTCTAATTATACATCTTGTCGCCATATGCTACGTTAGGTCTGCTTTTTGTCTGTTTTCGTAAGCATGTTTTTGCTCGAAATTTCTCTTACTGGAATTCTCTCTTGGGTCCAGAGGAAACTCCACACTGATTTACAGAAACACGTTCTGTTTATTGATGAAACGAAGCATACCGCATTTCGCTGGAAAGTAATTCTTTTCAACTGTGAAGGGTCAAAATGTAGCAGAGAAGAAACAGGAACAAGCAGCACTCATCTATTTCAAAGTCTTATTTTCTTAGCGCTTGGCGCTGAAGACATTTGTCAGTCCGGAAATTAATTTGGTGACCATGGAGACGGTAATCAGATAACGGCGTAACATGTGACTGACACAGTCTACAGACTGACTGTTAACCTACCGCCTGCAACGCAGGCTAATAGACTGTATGATTTTACGCTACTATCTGCGTCGATGTACATACTGTAAGATTTTAAGCCGTAAACTAACGGCGTAAAATCTGTCAGTATATAAGGACCCCTTAAGCTATGATATGATCAGTTGTTTGCTAAACAAGATTATTTTCAACAGCACGTATGCATGTCATTTGAGTCGTCAAGTACGAGCATTCCACTTGACTTCCACTTCTACAGGAGTCGTAAATTCTAATAAAATGATGTGGTCTGTATATTGAACTGGAAAAAATGGTGTGTTTGAATTCGAAATAATTGTCGCACGAGACATTTTCTAGTTGACGAACCGTTACGGTAAAACTCAAGTTCAAGTGCTCTTCTCTTTAGGAGTAAAGGGTAAAGGGCAAAGAAATTGGAATGATTAAAATTTTACGATCATAAATCAAGTTTGACGAAAAGGAAATCATAAATTGGCTCTAAAACTGGAAAGACAGAGGTTTCGCGGGAAGTACCACGGCAACAGTGATTTTAAATGAAAAATGCATAGTACTTTCTCACATGTGAAGTTACGTAACAAAAATTTTAGTCACGTACAATATTAATGAGCACGTATCATTATTGTTTGTTTTCGTCTCTCTTAAAACTGTCACCTATCTTCAATTTTTTGCCGAAAAATCAGAAGAAAATATCGTTAATCGTAGAGCATACCATGGAATGAAGAAGGAAAAAACGTTGAGAGACAATCTACAGTCTCAAAGAAACTAGCTCAGCACAACTGCATAGAAACCAGCCAGTCTTGTCATGATCATCTTTCAGTATTTCAAAAATTTTGCAAGACACGACAAAATATCGAGGAATCAGTAGTTTTATTTGCCAAAATTTTGGCATTCACGGTATATCCTGGGGTGCTACCCTTCCTCATTCGGAAGCGTGGAACACCATGTCCTCGAAACTGCTCGCTCTCAGGCCCAACCAATAAATCGTGATATCATCTTAACCAACAGCAGTCTTCTCGCGTGGTTTATGTACTTAATACTCTTACAAAAATAAGATCAAAATTACTAAGAGGTATGCGGTAAATTTCTTGGATAAATCTCTCTTCTAATTTCCTTTTTGCGTCACCACAAATTTAACCGGAGGTTAGAAATTTAGAAATAATTTCCTTCTCGTTTCTTGTCACAGGCAACCCTTCCATCTTCACTTTAGCGGCAAATATTTGATTTCTCTGTCTTAAAAATACTTTCTTTTTTGGTCATTTCGAAGAGCACTCATTATGATTTTGGATAAATAAAGAATAGAAAAAGGACCAAGAATTATTATATAAGCACTTCAGGTCCATCTTTGGTATTTTTTCGGCGTCGACAAAACTTGGAACGGACCGGGATCGGATCACGGATCATGGATCATGGATCGGATCATGTTAAATAAAATTAGAAATTTTGCGCGACAAGCCTAGAAACTCCTTGTAGTCACTTTCACGGCTGTGCCGAGGATTGTTGTATAGTGCCACCATGGACGAAGGCAAGTGAGGGGTACTTATCATTTCATCAGTCAGTTCAGAAAAACGCGACAAAGTTGCTTCTAAAGGTCCTTGAGCTTCTTCCGTTGCCGGTGCGTGAGGCACGTCATAAGCCATAGTTCGCAAACTGATCGACCTAAGCGCGCCACATTGCAAGGTCAAAGTCTCGGGCGCTATTCGAGACGTGATGACCTCCTATGGATCCCAATGGCATTTCATCAACGAGAAGTTATTTCAGTGGCATTTGGCTTCTCACGTATTCCTCTAGATAACAATAAGAATTCTTCTCAATAAGCCGTTTCGCGGCTGTTCGAGGTCAGTGGAGACGCTTAATTGCCGCTCAGATCGAAGACAAACTGGAAAAAATGTTGTTTATATTTTTGACGAAAACCGAAAACCAAATTCTAAAAAACAGCAAAACCGAAAAACCGAAGTTTTTGGCACAAAAACCGAAAATCCCAATGCCCCCCTCCTTAGCCTCGCTTGCCTTCGTCCATGGTGGCACTACACAACACTCCTCAGCACAGCCGTGAAAGCGATTCATGGAGTTTTGAGGGAAAAAAAAAACTTTCAAATGAGCGTGCACTCCATTGTGTCACGTAGACGTGACATAATGGCCGTGACATAATACGCAACATCTCTCATTTTCATTGAAATATATTTAATTTTTCACCCCCCCCCCCTTTTTTAAAACTCTCTATTAATTTTGTAAAGAATTTGATCACTTTATTTTTCAAAACCCTTTGTCCGTTTTCGAACCGTGACGTTGGGCCTGTGCTCAATCGTGTCACGCAGACTTAATATCGGTTGGTCACGCAAAATTTCTAATTTTATCTAACATGATCCGATCCGTGATCCGATACGTGATCCAATCCGTGATCCGATCCATGATCCGTGATCCAATCCGTGATCCGACCCGTGATCCAGTTGGCAATCCGGTCCGTGATCCGGTCCGTGATCCGGTCCGTGATCCGGTCCGTGATCCGATCCGGTCCGATCCAGATTTTGTCGACGTCGGTATAATTCAGTTCGCGCCAATATAAACATCCTCCTCTTATTTTTTTTACCCCTGCTAGTTTCTCACCTCGGAAGTGATGAGTGTTTATAACTTGGACCACGTCGTAAGTCACGCCTTTATAAAAGAGAACTTGAGCGTTGTGATGGGTGAAGCGCGTTTTTCTTAATTCAAGCTATATACTCTTTGACTAAGTCGGAGTGCTGAACGGGATAATTTTTGGCTCGTATTTGGTCATGAAGTACGAACCGAGTGCAAAACGTTTCTCTTTTTCTCAAAAATAAGAAACCCATGATTCATCGAGTAGCGCCCCTCATTTTCTCATTTATCTTATTCAAGTTGAAGTCCAAACTTTTCGATTCACTTTTTAAGATAATGAGAAGAGCTGTGTGAGTGCCGGGTCTGATGGCTTTTCCAGACAGGCTCACATCAACCCGTCCGACCCTACATGTCAGTTTTACACACGTTAGCTTTTACTCGGTTTCGTAGTATGTGATTACGCGCGCAGTTGGCTGAATGACTAACGCTTGCTAAGGAATTGATATCGCGGGCGCATGGGACGAGAATGAGTGTGCGTCAGTTTTCTGCTGGGGCTGGATTCATTTGAGACGAAGTCCACACACTCTTGGTGAAAGTTTGTTAATTCCTTTCGATCTTAGTTTCGACTTCAAATAGAGCGAAAATCAAGAAGAAGTTAGATTTGAAAACCACTGAGGCTGAAATGAAAGGAATCGTCTACGGGGTTGGAACACTAACTTTGATCTTTGCACTTAATCATGTGCATTGCGCTCCTATGAAGCAAACGCGTCAAACGGTAAGGCTGCTTCGCTCTGTTATAAGGTTGTTGTTTTTCCAACCTTGGTAAAAATTGCGTTAAATTCGGTACGCATACAAAAAAGGGGCGAGTTAAGGTATCAGTCTGAAAAAGGGTACATGAATTGATATTTTTGTAATGTAACTGATACCTGCTCTCCTGAATAGGTGTTTGTATTACCCTCCTTCATCTTTCTGTTGTGTGGAAAAAATATAAGGGTGTCAAAAGGGTATTGCTATATCTCTTAATTATTTTTAAATTGTGGCTGTGAAAAAATTAGGTAGCATAGCAGGAATTTCTCAATACGGAGAGATGTAATCCACTGGCTCCAAGCTTATCTTTCAAGAGGGAATCGATTGTAAACATGTCTTGATTAAAAAATAGCTTGGATTTTTTTCTCAGTGGGTATACGGTTGTCAAAATACAGATCAGTCACTAATTTCGTTGAAATGATCATGGAGAGCTAATCACCTGAAATGAAAACAAGCGCGATCATTTAACTGCATTTTTTTTTAAACTGATTGCTTTATTTTTCTTGGCTCAACGACGTATTTAATGCATCAAGTAGCTAAATGAACGACTATCACGCTTAGCAATTCGTGATCCAGAGTCACCAAAAAATGGTTAACAAGTTTATTTCATCATCATGATTAAAAAAGCAGACGATGGAACTGTTTTTTTTTTTTATAAGCATACTCGTCCTTTATTGAAAGAGTATCTATTAAGTGGAATCTAAAATTACAGAAGTCACACCAGAGGCAGGCGACTCAATCGGACAAAATAATCAGCCAAGAGAGGAGTGACCGAGCAACTTTCATCAGAGTACTTTGCAATCTTGTACTTTGAGGCGGTCCTGAACCAAGTTTATTTCTGGAGAGGGAGAGGATGGAAGAATTAATCTCCGTAAAAAATGTGCCTAGTCGGTTGAAGGATGCATTTATTCCCTCGCAAGCGATCACCCTGATTTTTTGCTTGTCCTATCGAACTAAAACATGTGAAGGTGTGAGTCTCTCGGAAGCAAATGATATGATTAACATCAGTAATAATAATAATAATAATAATAATAATAATAGTAGTAGTCGTAGTAATGGTAATATCACAAAGATCTACATAGCGCTGATACGAGAAAAAAAATTCAAAAGTGCTTTTTAGTAAGTACTTAAAGCTTTCCTAAAAAGAAATGTTTTCAGTTTCTTTTAAATGGCGAGGCTACTACAGGTTCTAATCGATAATGGGTTGAGAGTTCCAAAAAACAGGAGCAGCATGAGCAAAAGGGAGATTCCGAAGTATAGAACTTGAATCTTGGAACAAACAGAAGAGATTGTGTTGAGGAGCAAAAAGCATAATCAGAAGGTAGTGTAGGAGAACAACAAATTATAAATAATTTGTCAATCGCTTTTCTGCAGGTTGCACCTTATGTGACTTAAGCTCCATACTTGCCTAAAAAGCGTGAAAAAAAAAAATCTTAATAATAAGGCCTGTTCTGCAGGAGAGGGGTTTCGTGCTGTTTGGGAGTGACGTGGATGACACAGGCACACCCCTTATTTGTAATTGACACCCTACTGCTCAACTACGTTCATAAAGAGCGCAACTAAACGTAAACTCGAAACCACGCACACTGTTGTTGCCTGGACAAGGAACCATCAGAATATTGTAAAACAATAATTTAAACGGTTCATAGCCCACGAAATACGAACTGTAGGGACTGAACATGGATTTCAAACCCTTCACAGTGGCATTGTTAACTCTTTCGCTATCTCCGGTGTTCGTGCGAAGCGCTGCGATCAAGCAGGCGTACCAAACGGTAAGACTTTACTTCAGCAAATGTACGGTTGATGGATGTTGCACGCAAATACACAAGTGAGCAGAGGATACGTAGCAGATAATTCCAGCATTGTATAGACGTGAATATTTCAAATATGTGACCTGGAGCGACTAAAAGTCGTCGTAGTAAGTACGTGATTTCATTCACCCGGCGTTTTGAGCTCAGATGTGCAATCAATCAGCTTTTTAAATATTTACATCGCGGGGTTCATCCTCACGATTGTCGTAGAGCATGCGAAAGGTCATCATTGTACAACGACAGCTGACAAATACACATAACTGCAGTCCTGGAGGAATCATTACTGGAGTAATTTTGGGAAACGATAATTTTTTACATTCTGACAAAACGCGTGTATTCGCGCGATAAACCCCGCACTGTCAAACCCACGTCCTACAACTCCGCGCTCTCTCGCGTGTTCGCGTTATTTATCTGTGAGAGAAGAGTCTTTTCGTAATGTACATCACTCTTTCAAATGAAGCAAAAAAAATGTTTCATAAACAACATGAAATAAACCTGCAGAATAGCCGTCAATTTTTGGCGAATTCAGGAAAACGAAGGCGAGTTCAAAGCGTGTTGTGCAATGAGGAGGAGGAGAAGTTGTTTCGCGCTCCCTCTTGCGCGTAAATCGCTTTTCCCGTTGCCCTCACTCTCGTCTCGCGCGTGTGTTCACTTCCCTGAAAAACGCAAAAAATAAAGCCTGTTACGCAGGTCTTGTAGATTTGCTCCAAGATTTTTCTTGTCGACTCGTGTATCTCCTTTTTTTGCTAACAACCTCTCTTATAAACTCTTCCATCAACTATTCTTTGTAGGCATTGTTTATGGAGAAATTTGGTTACTTGGATGATGATGTCATAGGCAAGAACAGAGGTCCATTGGATCCGAACTCGACTGAGTTTCGAGCATCGATCAGGAAACTTCAAAGATTTGGAAATATCCCAGTCACAGGACGAATTGATGCAGCCACCATAAAGCTCATCAATACTGACCGGTGTGGTGTGAAAGATCCACCCCCCGATGCCGCAGGAAGATTTACTTTACAGGGGTCCAGATGGAAGCGAACGGTCAGGAAATAAGTTTTTTTAATTACAACGAAAAGACTTATGCTTCATTGCCGAAGATGATTACGAAAATTGTTCTTGTTTTGATTGTCTTAAAGAGAGATACTATTGCTTTGTTTTGCATCTGTTGCCATAAACACTTCCAAGAAGCTTATTTAAATTGAAATCATAGCTACCCAGTCACGAAATTTTTAACCTAGCTTAAAGGTTTTCTTTTGAAGAAACATAACGCGGGGCAATTACGGAAGGGGTAAGATATGACCGTATATACCACATGTTGAGCTAACCAATCGAATCACAATCAAATCGTAACATTCGCTTAATTCTCGGCTGCTCGTTCGTCGTAACAAGGATATATTTGTGATAAGCATAATTCTTGTTAGTATACACTACAGCAATGGATAGCGTTTAAGACGCGCTCTGATTGGCTACTTAAACTCCGAATATGCTTTGCTATTCACCACCAAACAACTCGCGCGGGAATTGCGCCTGAAATCGTTGCAGAAATCAATTAGTAAAGATCATTAATTTTCTAAGATATTATCTCACCGTTTTGGTATATACTAAAACAACTATCTTTTTTTTACAGGACATAACTTATAGGATTCTTAACTACACCAAGGATGGCATACCGTTCAGCCAACAGCGAACAATTTTCCGGAAAGCGTTCGATTTGTGGCAGTCTGCCTCGGCGTTGAGGATTAGAGAGGTATACAGGGGAGATGCTGACATTCTCATCAGCTTTGTTCGCCAAAAGCATGGCGATCCATATGCCTTTGATCGTAGAGGTGGTACATTGGCGCACGCATTTTATCCCCACAATAACAGAGGTAAGAGTTAAGTTTCTTTCTTTGCGTATATAGCTGCGCCTGCGAAGTACAGCCCTCAAACGTTAGGCATGCGCTGATTTTCGGCAAGAAATTTCAAAGGAAAATATACGAATCAAATTTTTTCGTTCAAACTAAGCGAGAAAAATTGAAACGCCAGCAGAAATCTGTAGAGAGAATTGGAAACAAAAGCAAGGAAAAGGAAGATCTGGGACTCTTCCAATTCCCCTTTGATTTCCATTTTGTTTTGAGCCTTACCAAAGAAACTATCAGGTTTTGAAATAATTTGAATCACAGACTTCTATAGGTTGTGAATTGACTTCTTAAAGCACCCTGGTTCTAACAGCCTCAAGTCAAAGCATGACACGTAGCCATTACAAGGTTCGCTCATGCGCGAACATTCGACCATTGTGTTGACTAAGCTTAAGATTTTAACTAGTTCAGCATCTGACTTTTTTTGCATTTTTCCACTTTCCGAACGATCTCGGCGCCCTCTGCGCGGTTTAAAACCCACTCATCTGTTAAACTAATTAAGTTATTCAGTTTATAACTAGTTCTTTGTTTACTTATTTCTCATTGAAGGTCTCTCTGGTGATGCCCATTTTGACGATGATGAACATTTCACAACAGGAAGGAAAGATGGCATCAACCTAGATTGGGTGGCTGTTCACGAGTTTGGACACAGTCTGGGTCTAGAACATTCCAACGTACAAGGATCCATCATGTACCCGTGGTACAAAGGATATGTTGAGGATATCAAACTAACAAATGATGATACGCAAGGCATTCAGTCTTTATATCCAAGTGAGTTGTCTGTTGGTAATTTTCCTGTGTCCTTTGCTGTCTTATTTTTTCTATTGTTGTGACAATGACCACCTGAAAAGTCATCTCTGTGTGAGGAGGCTAATAAGAGTCCACGGTATGTTGATTAATTTACTTAGCAAGTAATCTATCAATCAATTCTGCAGTTCAGTGAAACCATGTGTAGGTGTCAAGGTCATTATGATTGTTGGTCTCAAAAATATTTTTATCGTTTTTTTTTTTTTGTCAATGATTATTATTATTTTCATTATTATTGTCATCGTCGTTTTTATCATTATCACCATCATTATTATTCGTATCATTATCGTTATTATTGGGGAATATGTTTGACGCAGTGGTGAGAGTGCTCGCCTCCAACCACCCAGCCCGGGTTCGATTCTCAGACCTGGTGTCACATGTGGGTCGAGTTTGTTGTTGGTTCTCGCCCTTGCTTCGTGGGTTTTTCTCCGGGTCTTCTGCTTTTCCTCCCTCCATTAAAACAATCATTCTAACTCCAATTCGAACTGGAAATAGTGGACAACAAGAACCACCTCGTGGAATGTCCACTCCTACCTACCATTTATTTTTTTATTTTATTATTATAATTATAATCTTTCGTACTTAGCATTATCATGCGTGCTATTTTATTATTTGCTATTTTTCTGACGGTATTATCTATAATCTTTTCAGTGCCAACTGTTCGGCGAATCATACCAACTACGAGAATCACCACCACTGTTACTACCACCAGACGCCAGCCCCCAACCCCGCGACCCACAGTTCCGACTGAGGTTATTTGCAGCAGCACAGTTCGTTATGACACAGTATTTGTTGGTACTAACAGGTGGACGTATTTCGTGGTTGGAGATAAGTTCTGGATCTTGGACAGGCAGCTGCGCAGGCGTGGACCGTACACCATAACGAGATATTGGAGGGATATAAAGACCCCTTTAGATGCTGCTTACCGCAATAAAAAAGGAAACGTGGTGTTCTTCAAAGGATCAGAGTAAGATACATTTTTTGTAACAATTTGAGAGTTATCTCACAGGCCGTGCGGTTTCCATACTTAAGGTTCCCATATTTAGAGCGTTCTCCAATTAAATATTCGAGCAACACGCTAGTATGTTGCAAGTGGCACCAAGATACTAGCTCTTTCAACCGCTTACCCACTCCCACCGAGATTAAAAGGAAAGTCTACATACTATTATAGCTATCATTGCTACCAGAACTTATCTTATATTTTGCATGAAGCGTCTTGACAAGTCGCATCTCTTGCACATTCTGTCGATGATGTTGATCTGAGCTCCGGCGTCGATGCAACATCAGGCCACCGCCGTTAGTAGCCCTTTCCCCTCATCCATCGAGAATGTGTGCTGAATATAAAACATTTATAGCAATATAAATATCACTTGTTCCCGAGAATCTTTAATTTAATCCTTTCATTCTTATCGTTAGGTTCTGGGAATATGACTCCAAGAGAGTGTTAAGGAATTCTGGTCAAATTTCACGGTACGGTCTTCCCTCAGCTCTCGCTAACATGGACGCAGTTTTCACATGGGAGAGGAACAGGAAGACTTACTTTTTCAAGGACACCCTGTACTGGCGATACAACGAAGACAACAAGAGGACAGACTGGGGATATCCCAAGGGTATCAAAAACGCCTGGAAATCAATTCCCGATCACATTAATGCTGCCGTACAGTGGGTCAACAGAAGAACCTACGTTTTCAGGGGAAGGCAGTATTTAAAGCTTCAGCAGGGAAAGGTATATATGGAGCAAGGATACCCTCAAGAGATTGCCAAAAGATGGATGAAATGTAACCCTGGCGATGAAAAGGACAGAGGTTTTGCCTCAAAAGATCCCTAAAACTACACGAAAAATGTGATGTCCTCTTTAATGTGCATGTATTTTAGACGGGAGAAATAAACGAAACATTCAAGAACTGATGGTCTCGTTTAGAGGTCATAGGTTTATGATCACAGATCAAATAGTCAAAGGTAACAGGTTGCTGCCCACAGCAGAGGGAGTTTCGTATTATGATTACTAGACGATTCAGATTTCATTCGCGTAATACTGAAATTATAGATCTTGTAACAAATATATATCAACTTTTTTCCGCATCACCAGAAACAGCGCTAAAACTTTGTCACTAAACAAATTTCCTTCATTTCAGAACTTTTCCTGTTGACTCACGCTTAAACGTTTGATTTTAAGTCCAACGCCTGCAACCCTCCCCTCCCCCACCAAACAAATATTTTCTCCTCGACAATTCTGTAGGTCCTATTTTAACCTATGACCTGTAGCTTTCTGAGGAAACACCTACCATCCAAGAAGTGAAACAAAAACTCTAAAATTTTTTAACAGTTGTGGAAAACAGAATAGTTCAATCGACCTTACCCAATTTCGTGTCATTACAGCACTCTTGTTGCTTGTAATAGAAAATAATTGCGACGGGTCTGTCAATTTCATGGGATTTCATCACATAAATTGATTTATCACAATCCTTGGTTAACCAATGGAAACTTTTAAACTGTTTTCACTTTTTATGAGTTGAATTCTTTAAATATATCATGTGTAGGCTCGAAATTAATGGAAGACACTCCTTAATTCTCTCTCTCCCAAGATCGCATCAATAATTCTCTTAACTTTCTGCCACACAGTTCTGATGATGTTAGTTTCGAGGATTTGTTATTGTTATAAAGAATCTCCTAGCTGTATTTCTTTATTCCTATCACTTGCCTCCTTGATATTGCATTGAAATTGTAAGGAGAAAATCTGTTTTGGTCACTCATGGGAGTTAAAGGATTATGAACCATCTGAACCAAAAGAATGTTCTCAGCGATAAGTTTCGCGGCAGTTAAACTTGGCCGATCTATGAAAAGGAAAACCGGATGGCACTAGTGCAACACTAACAATAACAACAACAGGCTTTGTTTTAGTAGTATATCATAGAAGTATATCATTACATACATTATCAGCATTACAAAAGCGATCCAAATCTCATTGTAACAGGGACCGCGCAGAGGGAGGAGCTGTAAATAAATAAGTTAAAAAAAACATAATTTAATAAAAATAACGGAGCCAAAAAAAAATACCCCCCCCCCCCTCCTCACTCAAAAACTTGCTGCGCGGTCCCTGTGTTGTTAATACAATCATGTAACGAAAGGAAAATTAGCGGGAGAAATTGCAACCGTGATTTGCTCATTGCAGTCTCCAGCCTTCAGGGTTAACGAAAGGAAAACGCGAGAAAGACACTAGAAATCCTCCGAGGGCAGAAGATCTTTTAATATTTATAAATAAAAAAAAAAATAGACCAGTTTTCTATTTCACTTACTTATGTATCGCAGATATTTTGAGTTATTTAAAAGAGAGACATTGCCATGAAGTGAACAGGCTTCATTGGGAATCTAAGAAAACAATTCCTGCCAGGGCTGTTTTTGTACAAGTACGGAAGAGAGTAATTGGCCCAGTTTTTAATAATCATTCATCTGAATGATGATTTTAGATATACGAAATTCATATATTTGCACCGCGGTGAAGAGATGAAATTAAGAGATCCTCGCAGCTATGAACACTACTGAAACGAGTAGTCATCTAGCTATTGTTGTACAAATCTACCACAATTTACCATTGTCTTTTTAAGCTGAAATAGATTCCTTGTTGCCGTGCATCTGTTCAATAATAAATCACAGATGACGCCAAAATGTGGTAAGAATAAAAAAGGTAGCACACGGGGCGCAGCTGAGTGTGTCACTGATGTTCTTAACCCTTCAACTCCCAAGATCTGATTGTTAATTCTCCCCTCTAGCTGCTACACATTTCCTTGTAAATAAGTCACGAGAATTTGGTGTCAGATCGAGATAACAACTTCGATCTGATAAGTATGAATATTCTCATGACCTGATTGCTGGGTAATCTTAGGTTATTATAGGAAGAAGTTACTTGTTAATCACCTAAGGTTTGACATATTTTGACGTCTTTTGTGTTAGTGTTCACTGAGACCCATGGCAACATGGAAGCTAGTTGTGTTTATATGATATGCTGAAACCTACACGTATTTTGATTGGTTCTTTCCTATAAATATGTACGTGTATGACGCCACCATTCCAAAAATTTTGCTTGTTTATCATATAATTAAAACGTTTGTGAATCACTCTTCTCCTAGTAGGGATTTACAAACTTTTCCGTGTTCTCCCTACAGCCCTCGTGGGTTATTACGCCGGTACACTGATAAAAAGTGTATCATATACTTAAAACGTTTGTGAATTACTCTTCTCCTAGTAGTGATTAAGAACCTTTTTCCGTGTTCTCCCTACAGCCCTCGTGGGTTATTACGCCGATACACTGATAAAAAGTGTATCATAAACTTAAACGTTTGTGAATCACTCTTCTCCAAGTAGTGATTTACAAACTTTTCCGTGTTCTCCTTACAGCCCTCGTGGGTTATTACGCCGATACACTGATAAAAAGTGTATCACAAACTTAAAACGTTTGTGAATCACTCTTCTCCTAGTAGTGATTTACAAACTTTTTCCGTGTTCTCCTTACAGCCCTCGTGGGTTATTACGCCGGTACACTGATAAAAAGTGTATCATATACTTAAAATGTTTATGAATCACTCTTCTCCAAGTAGTGATTTACAAACTTTTTCCGTGTTCTCCCTACAGCCTTCGTGGGTTATTACGCCGATACACTGATAAAAAGTGTATCATAAACTTAAAACGTTTATGAATCACTCTTTCCTAGTAGTGATTTAGAACCTTTTTCCGTGTTCTCTCTACAGCCCTCGTGGGTTATTACGCCGGTACACTGATAAAAAGTGTATCATAAACTTAAAACGTTTGTGAATCACTCTTCTCCTAGTAGTGATTTACAAATTTTTCCGTGTTCTCCCTACAGCCCTCGAGGGTTATTACGCCGGTACACTGATAAAAAGTGTATCATAAACTTAAAACGTTTGTGAATCACTCTTCTCCTAGTAGTGATTAAGAACCTTTTTCCGTGTTCTCCCTACAGCCCTCGTGGGTTATTACGCCAATACACCGATAAAAAGTGCCCATGGCTCTCGACCAATGATCGCGCAATAATTTGTACAGTTGTCTTGAAAATCTGATTGTTATCCTTGCATATGTGACGAGAAGTAAATTTAATTACAAAACCTTCCTTACACCTATCAGGTAAATGAATATTCAATAAGGATGTAATTATGGTTAGGTAGGGAAGTTGAACAACAAAAAGGAATCTGGAAATAATGGGATTAGCTGTCATGAGCCATCCTTTGGTCAGGATTATACAGCGACGTTTCTGTCTAGTGACAAGGCATTTTTGCGCACAAATCGTGTAATATTACAGTTCATTAGTCCGACAGTTGTGCTCCCCGGAAATAAAAGAGAAAGGCATTTCAAAAATAGCCCGAATAAATGACAATGTACGAAAGTGGGCTGATATCTTGTCACCCCTTTACAACACAAAAGTATTAAATGAGGCGTTAACCTCATTATCTAACTTGTCAAGGTTTGTGGCAGGCTTTAAGAATACGGGCGCCTTTGATATGTATTTGTATTCTGGGGGTTCAACGAGTGATTACATCGTGTAGTGGTACATGCAGTGTGTCTAAATTCACTGAGAACTTATCGTCTTAGTTCTTGGTCATCCAGCTGGGTTCAATCATGAAAAATTCTTAAATGGATAACACCTGCGTCGCCCACGAAGATTAATCAGCCTAAATGGGCGCGTAATCCTGAATAGTGGGAGGGTCATTTTCTAAGTTTCAAATGAGAATTGAGTTGTTTGAATAAACTCAAAGCTTGTCGGATTTCCTTCCATCATCAATGCCACTTTTCATTTCCTCTCTGTACAGTTTGACATATCATTGGTTTTGGGGCGCGGTGCCAGCTTTGTTACTAAATATAAAAGAAGGAAAATTATTTTGTGTTTTCCACTTGTTGTGGGATGATTACATTCATAAACTTCCATTGCTAGGCATTTTAAGAAAGAATTTCTGTTGTAATTGTATACTTCGATAAGGTCTGTGTGAGTCAAGCGAGGAACTTGTTCGCGAGAAATAACCGATCAAAAGAACCAGTGTTCATCACTTTTCAACATGAGCTCCTCCAAATCCGTGACTCTTTTAACGGCATTCTCCGCTATCATGGTTGCTCTAACATCAGCAAGACCTGCAAGTGTACCGCCAAACGTTTTGGTGAGTTTTTATTTGATGTGGTAAGCTTTAATAAATCTCTTTAAGGAACGAAAATCTTTGTAATCAAGAGGAGACGGTTTTTTTTTTCTGTCAAAATGAATGGGCGCAAAATGTTTTAACCATGCAGAGGTTGTTATTATTTCAGTGATTGTTGTTAAGGCGCTTAGTTGTCGATAGACCACACATTTTAAATTTCTATTGCTCAAATTGTGTTCCTGACATTATCCTATTCAGAATGCTCCTATTTCTTTAGATATGTAAAAGTTTATGTGTTCTTTCTATCATTTTTTTTCTAAATTTTTTTGTTTAAACTATCTCCCGAGGCAAAAATTCCTCAGTAGGATATTTCAACACGAATGTTTTCCACAGGAAATTCAAAATTTAGATAACTCATCTTTCCTCGAGGATGCATTACAGTCAGAAACACGCTGAAACTTTCAATAGAATGTGTTGTTTGACATCCTTAGTCCCTTGTAAATCTTAATTTTTTTTTGCTCTGTCTCAGATGGCCGTCTGTCTGCTATACAAAAGTTATTAAGGACTTGAATTCTTTTTGCAATTCAAAACTTTTCAGCGAGTTCCGAAAAAAGGCCAGGAAAATTCTTTATATCTGTTAAACCTTCGGAAGAGAAAATTTCACGCCAAAGAATTTCACTCAAAAACCAAAAGCCTCTTTGTTTTTCCTGTCTTTAAATATTGGATAACAAATGGAAAGATTCTCTGAAAGTGATGTCATTATGACGTCAATATTTTTTCAGTCATCATTGTCAAGGAGGGCCGCAGGAACAAACACGTAGGTTAAACAAACCTCCGCTTGAAACATTATTACAAAAGTTAAGTAAATTATGATATGCGATGCTAAAAGAAAACAGCTTTTGAATTGCAAAATTTCATAACGCCGGATGTTCACGAAAGCTCTCATTCAATTATGGTTGGGTACAAAGTGTAACGGGTCCACTCGAATAAAGTGCCAGATATGAAACTTCACGCTATGTAGTAATTGAAGTTTTTTCCTTTAAAAGTCCGTCGCGCAACAGGTTCTGTCTGGCCTCAAAAACGACTATTCATTTACTTAGTACAATTCTTGTAGACTTTTGGACTTCGGATTTTCGACGATTAAAGATCCCAGCTCTTTCTAACCCACACTGCCCTCTTGGGTCAACGTTTGTGGTATTGAGACACGTCAGACTGTAACGGCTAGAATAGACTTCAATATGACTATTAAATATCAGATTCTTCCGTATAAAACTTCCATAAACCATTCTCTATTATCTATATATCAAACCCACGGAAGCCAATTTTTTAATTTTGAGTGTAAACTATTGAAATATTTCATCCGAAAGGATCCTTTTTAGTAGAAAACAAACAACAAGACTTTTGGAGCACATCCAACACTAATATCTCTTCATCAGACACAGGAAGAATACGGACAGCAACATTTTGTGTCTTAACGCTTGCGGTTTTTAAGCTATTAATAACTACAAACCACACAACCCCTTACTGCTGTGAAATAATGTAGATATAACATAGATAGTTCACATTCTTCAGAGATTATTTCATACGTCCGATTTGGCTTGTAGTGTCTCTTTCAGAACAGGAAAGCGTTTTCTTCGATGAAAGCAAAAGGTTTAGAGTATATTGTCTCAGAAATCTTGAGGGGTCTTGAAGGGTCTTGAGTGGTAATCTGTCCTTAAACGAATAATTTCGTTCCAGTTTGACTCACAGCTGGGGGTACAAATTATTCAACTCACTCGTTTTGACTTCCCTTGAATAATTTTAATTTTCCGTCCGACTTTTCGGTTTGTGATACTCAATCAGGTCTTCCGAGGAAGGGACACATGCCCTTGGCTCAAACAATCCCACCATCGAGGTGTCTGAATCCCAGAACAGAAAGGCTTTGTTTAAAATCTGGTTTCGGATAAAAGGGGACCTATATCATTGACAATTTTGGACACAAGGAATCTATTTCATTATAAGTTTTATCAAATTCCCCTTCGGAAAAGAAGAACGCTCTAAAGTTTGCCTCGCTCCTAAGGCGTACTCTTCGTGGCTCAGTTGGAAGTACTAAAATTGCAGTCGTCCTGCGATGATCATTTCTTTGGTTAATTTTGTCTAATTTTTAGACAAATTAGATTAAAATGAATTTGGCCGTTACCAAACCAGAAGTAAAAAAATGCTTTAACATATGAAAAGTCAGAGAAACCTCTCGATCACTTTCGTATTTGGAGCACTAAACCGCTCATACATGTTTCTTTGTATCACAGATTACGACGGGTCAGCATTCGTTGTTATTTTTAGCTAAGAAAGGAAAACAATCCTGACCAAGAGTGATCAATCTAGCCGAGGACCACCATGCTCACATTAAAATGGACTTCATCCACCGGCGTTCACTTTGTGTGCATTTGAAAAGTTTGCCGTCAACAGTTTTCTTTCAATATCTGCTACACTTTTTCTTTTTACGTATGTATCTCTAAGTTAGTGATAACTTCGTTCCTCAATCTCTGCCGGTTGGGATATTTTGTTTTCCTCTAAATAAAAAAAAACCTTACTTAACGTATCATATGATGACTGTTTAACAGAAAATCACTTAATCATACTTCTTAACTTGTACGCAAGTAAATCTACTTGGTTGTTTATTTGTTTGTCATGATATCAAAAATCTCAACAACTCACTTTTTAGAATTACTTGGAGAGATATGGTTACCTGTCCCCTAGCGATGTGAAATCAGGAGAAGTAAAGAGTAAAAGGGTACTTGATCAAGCAGTGAGGAATCTTCAACGTTTTACAGGGCTGAACGAGACCGGAAATCCAGAAGATCCAAGCACGACTCAGTTGGTTACAGAACAAAGGTGTGGTTTTCAAGATCTTGGTAAAGCAGCAGAGTTCCGAAGAAAGAAGAGATATGTTCGTCATGGAACTTCATGGAAGAAAAGAGTGAGTGGAAAGATTTTTCTTTTTTTTAGGGGAGGGGGGAGGGGGGTGGAGGGGAATGGGGAGGGGCAAAGGGTGGAGAGGGTCTCGGTTTAGTAGCTGCATTGCAAATGGAAATTGAACGCAGACCAGCTAACCAAGATGAAAGCGCTGTGCATTTTTGCAAATTCAAGGCTCCGAAAATCTGTCTCTGTTTGCTGCCAAAAGGAAAGAGGACAAAGGAGAATGCTCTTGTTCCAGAGGGATGAATAGGATCCCAAGGTGTAAGAATGGCTCAGAAGTGCAAAAGTGTTTTGTCTAGTTATTTAGTAGTTTTCTCTGGTGAATTTGAAGTGCCTGACACTTTCTTATTGGTATTTGATTCGTTATTGGTCACATCTGTATGATTAATTGAAATAATTTTTTCTAAGTAACTTTTTTGTTGTTTTACAATGTTTTACATTTTTCCAGCATTTAACTTACAAGATAACACGCTATACTTCAGACCTCACAAAAAAGCAAGTGGACAGAACAATAAGGTCTTCCTTGAAGATGTGGGCAAAGGTTACTCCACTGACCTTCTCAAAAGTGAGCAGTGGTCCCGCAGATATTGAAATCGTTTTTGAAAAAAGGAAAGACGATGATTATTCATTTGACGGGAGAGGAGGCGAACTGGCTTATGCTTACTTTCCTGGAGATAACAAGGGTGAGTTGATAAAGTGGCTCTTACCAGTAAGCTATTTTTCAAAAATTTAAAGTGAACGAAGCTTGATTGAATATCTTCGGTGAGTTACCAAAGAAGTTTGTGGCCTGTCAGACAGGGTTCGTAACAAGATAGGTAATTTTTCATTTTTTTTTTAACTTTCTTTCTAGACTGCCAAAAGTATTGGAATGAACCATAAAATATTCATTTAGAATTTAGTGTGAAATTACAATATCGATTAGAAGTATTCTCCAATCGTCGGAAATTTCATTTTAAGCCATCAAGTTTAGTCTGAATTTTTTTCACTTTCCAGCCTGATTTTGTTTATCTTGGAGAAAGGTTTGAGAATCTGAGATCGTGGACGCGAAAACTTACTATTTGCCACACTTTCAAGACTCTGATGTCTATTTCCTTGAGATTCGAGTATTCTCTATAATATCTACTGTCAACTTGGAACTCATGATGTTTTCCTTGATCGAGCAGGAAAGGTAAAAACACGTCGCTATGCGTTTTGAAACCCGTCGTCTCGTATTCCCGCAACAACCAGTATACTACTGATTGGACGAGTGTAACTCGGTCTTGAAGAATTAGACTAAAAAATGAAATATTAGTATGACAGAAAGAGGATTATCGGGACAAAAGAGTTTCGATTCTGATTTAATTTCAGATGACTGACTCTCCTTACTTTTTAGGGGACTTTGGAGATATCCATTTTGATGACGAAGAAACATTTACAGTCTCCAGACAGAATGGAGCAGTAGACCTTAGATGGCTGGCCCTCCATGAGCTCGGACATAGTTTGGGGCTCGCTCACTCCTCTAACAAACGGGCCATAATGTACCCGATTTATGAAGAAAGTCTGTCGGGAAATAGACTGAACCGTGATGATATTCTTGGAATTCAACATATATACGGTACGTCAATCCCGTTTGGGCGCAGAGTTGAAAAGTAGCCAATCCCGTTTGGGCGCAGAGTTGAAAAGTAGCTAAAACTTTGTATTTTCTTGTTAAAAAGCAATTTAAAATTGCTTGTTTTTTATTTTCTTTGTAACTTACTGAGAAACCTCGAGCCATCAAACCGACGAATCACACGCAACTCAAAGTGATCGTAGGCGTTTCTTTAGCCTCGTGTAACTGCAGGTGCGATGACTAAGCTTTTGGATTTGCGACGTTCAATCGAAATGCGCTCTATCGCTGCATACCGTTTGCCGACATTTTTCAGACAAATAGATGATTCGATCACACTCGCAATGCCAAGACCAGACTCACTCATTAACAACCATTAGCCACACCTACCCTTTCACTCGAGCCTGTTTGTTTGCATAGTGTGTTCAAGGCTCTCAGTCAGCAGAGACGAGTGAAAAATAAGAGTGGGAGTATGAATTACCCAGCTGTTTCCTTGGCAACAACGATCGCCAGGTCCGCTTTCTTTTTTTTTTCCGCTGGCCCACTTTTAAACTCGTCTCCACCTATTGAAAACTTGGCAAAGGCTGAGGTTTATTCACATACTTATTAACATTTATGTGTTGTAACAACCTTAGGTAAGCCAAATATCAAAAGAGTCACACCCACTCCTCACCTTGACCCGGTACAGTCTCCAGGAAAACCCAATCCTTGCAGCAGTACGCTTGACGCTATGATAATGACCGCTGACAAGATAACCTATGCCTTCAAGGGTGCATATTTTTGGCCGGTCGGCGATCAGGGAGCATTTACTGGAGCTCTTAAAATATCTGAATTCTGGGAGAAACTCGAGGATGATATTGACGCTGGCTATACAAGAAATTTTGACGGACTTACTTTTATTTTCAAGGGATCAAGGTGAGTAGTTTTTCATCATTTTTCCATTAATTTACTTATCCTTCTATCGATCCGTCCCTCCCCCCCCCCCCTCAAATTTGTTTATTCATTTCCATAAACACTATTTTATCTATCTTCATCTCCGACGAAAACTTTTCGCCTCTCAGAGCAGATGATGTCCAGGGATAAAAATGCGTGTATGTCTTTACGCCAAATGAAGGTTATTGTTCATATAGAATGATTGATTTAATTCGTAGATACTGGACCTACAAAAATCGAACGTTGGTAGAAGGTCCATTGAACATAACAGACCTGAACCTGCCCAACGAAGTACACAACATGGACACCGCACTAGAGTGGGGCGCAAATGGAGAGCTGTACATCTTTAAGGGCGACAAATTTTGGAGATATAGCAGCGAAAGAAAAAGTCTCGACCCTGGATACCCCAAAAATATTCACTCCGTGTTACCTGATCTTCCGAATCATTTGAACGCTGCACTGCAATGGAAAAATGGCAAGACGTACTTTTTCAAGGGGACACAATATTACGCCTTAAATGACACTTCTATTCAAATACAGAAAGGGTATCCCAAGACTATTTCCACTTATTGGATGGGGTGTTCTCCGGCGGGTTTGAAGGCCGGGAAAATATCGCCGTATCGTTCATCTCATGCACATGCACATGATTCCGCTCGTTCCTCTTCTTCCTGTTCTTTTGCAATCGTGGCGAAATACATTGTCTTAGTAGCTAGTTTTATTTCAACATATCTCCTGATACCGAATATACGTTAAGTGATAGATTTGGTTGATAAAAAGGGTCCAGCAGAAGCCTGATTCAGGCGTTTAGTTAGGCTGAAAACGGAGCAAGATTGTAAAAGAAACGATAGTGGCGGCGGGGTGAAATGACGAGAGTCTTGGGTCGGATCGTGTTCATCACGCGAATGGACCCAGACCTCCCTCCCACATAGTCAAGAAATAGCATTAACATCAAACCAGGCGACTGTTTTAAATCAGAGCCTTTAAATTGATCAAATTTTTTAGAGTAAAGGTCAATCGATCAATCAGTTAAACAATTAAATAATATAAAGATAAACTGAGTAACTTACTCTTCAGGGGACGAAATATATATATTTTCGATAATTTGTTTTCATCGGTACTCTTACCCGAAAAACATTTCGAAATCCCAATACGACGCGATGTACATATATTTATTTATAATAACTTTTATATATAAAAGCGAAGTAAGACACCTCTTAAAGTACTTTTAATATATTTCATAAAGGAAAGATTTAATGTTAAAAACAATGTGTGGTTCAGCATATGAATAAAAACTGCATATCACATTTAGCAGATATATATTTAGCCAAACATAAACTTAAGGTCAAAAATGTTATTTTTTCGGATTGGTTTCATTCAGTGGGACCTAGCTAATCATGGTTAGAGTATACACTAGTTATCTATTTTAGAAATATTAACTTAGGTATAAAATTTTCCCTTCCCTTCCCTTCAACCTAAAGAATAAAGAGCGAAGTTAAGGCTGTGTCCTGTTTTACTCTGTTCTCCGACGAGTTTACCCTCAAAGCAGGCACTGCCATGATGAATCACAGGAAATTCGCACTGGCGCGAGGTCCATACCCTGATGCCTTATTGCTTTCGTGTTGCATTTTGATCGCGTTTGCAAATGCATTTGCTTACTTAGTCTCATGCCCACAATGATAATGCCATCTTTGACGAAAAATACGCATGCGTCACCAATCAGAGTCCATTGGAGAGCCAGTTTCATACCGAAATAAGCGGCTATTCTACGATTACATTACAGCGTTGCAAGATTTCATGACTAAACGACATTCTCGCTTCAGTGTGGCAACTGAATTAAACTCGTGCCAGTTTGACTTGTTCATGTTAGACCCGCGCACATCTCAGCGGGCCGGAATCCAAAATCCTCGAATGCTTGGCTAGTTGCGTTTTTCGATACGGATAAGGTTTTTGAAACATTTCATCAATATTCACAGTATGATGTTTATAATGTGAGACAGTAAATATATCTCACTATTACTAACAGGACAACTTGGCTTTCAAAATTGTTTCGTAAACAATTAGCAATTCTGTTTATGGTGTTCGTGTTGTAATCAAGCGAAAACGAAGTGAATGCTACGTTACTGAATAAAAGATGTTAAGAGCTAGAACTTAAACTGATAACAGCTTAAACCGAAGGTGAAAAACCTCTGCCAGCGAAAGAAAGGAAGTAGGCATGGTCGAACCGACTCAGACCCCTCTCACTTTTTTTCTAAGCCGCTAGTGATCGCGACATTTATTATCTCGCTTCGTTTAACTGACTGAACGCCTGGAATAGGCTGTAAGGCCCATGAAAACTTCAGAGTGCGTAGGAAGAGCGTGGGAAATGAGAAATACACACCGTAAAAAAAAAAAAAAAAAAAAGAAATACACACCGTACACAGACGTGTTTGTATTTCCCATTTCCTGTATCCCGTATCATTCGAGATCTGACCGATCTCATTTAAAAGGCTGTTTGAGCTGTTCATAAATTCAGCTGAGTCGTGCATGTCATAAAATCCATACTACTCACGAGACGCATTTTGGATTGACTCATACTTCAAAGTTTTTCAGTAGAATCTCTATTCTAGATATACACAAATCACGGGTAATCTCGTTTCGGGGGATTTTGACACCTTGACTGCGATCGTATTATTCTAAACCACAAGTAACCCCATTATGACTTATTAGGGCAAGAAAGAAGATTATGACCACTGAATCTCTTTTGATTACGGCTGAAACGTGATAACCTTTTCAACTGGCCACAACGGACCTTAATCAGTTTTCTCTGTTTTTGGTGAATCGCTGAGTGGTTGTTTGTTGAACAAAGCAAATCCAATCACATCCGTATAAGAGCAGGGATGAAACTGTGTCTGGCTATCTGACGATTTGTACAGTTGAGCGATGATGGTTTTAGCTCCTAATTTCTGCAAATTTGGTTCCAGTCGTATTAGTTTTTTTGGCGATCAGCATCATACGGTAAATGGCAAAGATAAAACCAATTCAACAAGTGATTAATATGTATAATATCAATATATGCCCGACCTAAGCCCTGTATTTTTTCGCTCCGTTTTACTCAGTGCTCGCTTGGAACAGGAAAGAACGATACACTTAGGTCAAATTCATTTCTCTGTCAGTCATTTTCATGGGGGCAGCACGCAGCATAAACCTGTATAGCTTTTAACGCGGAGAGCTCGAGATATTGGCAACACCAAACAGGAATATATTCGCGATAGACAGCAGCTGTTTCTAGCCAGCCGTCTTCACTTGGTGCTTTGGCAAGTGCACATCGTTGCGTGACATCCCTGAAAACCCTTCTGCCCAAGAGGCCCTTTGTCTTTTACCGAACCAAATAACATTTTATATAAAACTGATGGAATTTTTTGATGGATTCCTAGTCTCTCTAGAGATTTTTCTCACGGCATAGGCTGCCTTACTCTTAAAGTTTGGTATTTTATTGAATTTAAATTTTGGGAGATATTTTATTTCTCAGAAATTTGGACGAAAAGGAATACGTGGGATCATGTGGCGTACGTGACGTTAATTGATGACGTCAGTGGAGCGGATTTCCGCTCACCGGAAGTTGACCAAATTTGACTGATAAAAGTCACTATGAGACTACACTTTGTGGGACAGTTGTAACGCACTGACAAACGACAGCATAAAAGAAAGCAAAACTGAAGCAAAAAAATTAAAATCAATAACGACAAGGAAATGATGATGAAAAAATGAGAGAGAATGAAATGAAAAAAATTTGAGAAGATTTTTTACTCAAAACCGAAAATGATGGACACCCCATTGAGAGCTTCAAGCCTATTTGCGGTAATATTATGTCATTCATGGGTATTCGCGCGAAAGATTTCGTGCAAAAATTATCGTACCGATGAAAACCATCGAACCTTGCTTGAATCAATGACACACGGCTGATCGGAAAGTGAAACGAAAAAGATGTCACAGTCTAACTTACTGTAAAAGCATTTCATAGCATTAGCTTGTTTGATATAACTGAACAACAGAAAATTAAACTGCAGAGGGTCATTTATTCGGCTTACAGCAATTTCATCCCTAGATTGGTCAATCCACTCGGAACAATTGGTGAGTTGTTCCGGTGGGGAGTGTTGAAAAGCTTAAGGTAGTTTGCTGAGGTATCATTAAGGCGGCGCGGAGTCTCAAAAATTATCTGATATAAAACGTGATAATGTGCTCGCTGCGGCGGTTTGTTTATCTACAAACAAATTTCTGCGCACACCAAATAAGAGGAAACACTGCAAGGACGTTTTTAAACAAGAAGTAATTAATAAGACTATTTGAGACAAATGCGAGCGTACAGTTTAAAAGACAACCCACAGATTGAGTCAGTTAGTGTATAAGAAACAGATAAAGAAGGAATATAGCAGCTGTATTACCCATTGCACCGCGGAAGATGATATTCCTCGAATACGCTATACATAAAAGGTCTTGAAACCGCCTCCCGTCCCCTTAACCCATCAACTCCTACGAGTGACCAAAACAGAATTTCTCCTTACGATGTCAATACAATATCAAGTAGACAAGTTGAAGAGAATAAAAGAAAATATCAATTTAGGTTAAAGAGCAGACACGATGTTTCAATTTTTATTGAACAGTTCCTTCAAACAATTTAATTATGCCATTACACTTGTAAACGTGATGCTTTTCTGATAAGAATAACATTCACACAACTAAGACTTGAATTACTTCTCCGTACCTTTCGGGTTTTTTTTTTAACAATATCTGTTGTTTTAACAGTGACAAAATCAAAAAGCTTCGAGCGAATCCAGCATCACGCAAGTTTGTTTTTTTTGTGATAAGATGGGCGATATTGGCCAGACATAGAGCAGTGAAAAACAACCGCTAGGAAATGGTAACAGAATTTGATTTAAATCGTCGGTACCTGCGTGAAACGCCAGACGCGATTCAGTCCAAGATAAAGATCAATTAATATTCAAATCAGGAAAGCTGATCATGAATTGAAAATCTGTTCGAACCCTGTTCGGCTGTCGTCAACTTTCCTCGACTTTGAAATATTATAGCACCAACAGCGATGGTCATATATGGAGGGAATATCAAATGTTTGGCCAACACAAGGTTGTTAGTTTTGGCAAATAAGCTTTCCTCTTATCTGTCAATAGGGTTCGAGAGAGCAGCAGACTACACTGTTTCCGTTTACACGCGGTTTACGTATACATACAATACAACTTGTTGAGTAATCCCCCCAACTTTGCCAAATATGGAAGTGAAATCGAAAACCACTGTTTGTGGCGGAAGTGGGCACTTACTACGATCAGTTTCCTATAAATTATCCACACTTTTCGATCTTTTTCAAAGTGGTGTGCACTCCTTTTCCTGAGCATTGAAAAAAAAGGTCTAGAATAGTGTGACAGAGGCGCTATAAACAAATCTTGTGGTGGCGTTACGAGGGTCTTTTGCTTCGTTATACACTTGGCATCTGACCACGCAAAGGGCGGTTTTGCTTATAAAGACGACGAGTCAACTTGGCCACAAGTCTGCACAGAAAGACACAGAGTAATTTTTTCGGTGCTAAAAATTTGTTGTAAGCAGTGAAGCGGAGAATGGCGTTCAGTGAAATTATCGTCACGTTCTGTTTCCTCGTTTGTTTACAAAATCTCGTTGCGGATGGAGGTCCAGTTAATTCAAAGCAAGTAGCAGAAGGAATTGTAAGTAATAATATAATTTGTTCATAAACTCGTTGTAAGTTCGATGTTGTCATGCAATATGCCAGCGCAGCACGATTAAATTTCCTTTGTGAACTTAAATATCGTCGGGAACCATTGATCATAAATTTGTCCGAATAAAAAGCAGTTGTACCATCTTCGAAACGCTATTTAATCAAAATCCATGGATGAATTGCAGCCTGTGAGTAATCGCTCTGAAATTTCTCGAAGGAGGCTTTTAACTACGTTGACCGAAATAGCTCTTATATCCGGGAAAGAAAATGCTCAATCATGCCTAGCTCTATATCACAAATTACGTCATCCTTCACCGACCACGCTGTGTGATGTCTCCCAAGAGAGTCACTCATCCAAGTTTAATTGATTTAACTAATTTGCCTAAGATATATTGTTCAGACGTGGCGAAAATGAAGAGACATGGGTGATCAGTTTTGCGTGTCGTCAATGTGTATATACGTATATCAAAACCAAGTCGGCTGTGGCGACGTGACCCTTTCATCTTTATTTCCTCTGATTTGTCTTTTCCCAGGAGGAGTTCCGCGTTTACGCGGAAAACTTACTAGAGGAACTCCTGATCATTTATTTTGAAAAGATGCCGAATGATATCTTTGATTTCATTTTTTCGAAAGAGGAACTTTTAAACACGTCAGATTCATTACAAAAAGAGGAATTGATGACTATTGATGTTTAAGCCACGATTGCAGAGTTTCGTTATTACAAAGACTGAAATAGAGTCGAAAGGCCCTGCATGGGGAGGGGTAGAGGATTTTGAACTTGCGCCTTTCAGTTCGCCCTAAGTCGTTGAACGCGCTGGTTTGAGAAGATTAACTCACATCGTGCCATTGGCTTGTTGCCACTTTTGATTGAAACCAGGCACGATTACCTGGCGCTGTACGGAGAATGAGCCCGCGCTCCTTTTCCGAGAAAACGGCGGAAATTAGAACAAACCAAAACCGGAAGCCACACGTTGGACGGCAAAGTCACTACCGCATGAAACTAATTAGATACACTTATATTAAAACTCGAGGAAACTTCAACAGCTAGACCAGTTGGAAACTGCGTCTGCAAACATGTATTTTGTTCACTGTCCGTGAAAATTTAACTCTTCATGCGAAAGTATTGTAGTTCCAGTTATATGACCGCAGGGGAAAAACACTCGACATCGAAGACTTGTTGTCAGTCAACATTATTGATCTATTGATTTAATATTTGTTTAATCTCCTCTCAATCTCGTTAGGATTATCTGACAAAGTTTGGTTACCTGATGAACGATGACCCAAGAACTGGAAAGTTAAGAACAAGACAAGATTTAGAGAAATCCATCAAAATGCTTCAACGATATGCCAACTTGCCAGAAACTGGGCGGATGGATGCAGCTACTATTGCGCAGATGGGCAAATCTCGCTGTGGTGTGGCAGACTACGGGAATTACAACTCCGATAACACGCGACGAAAGAAAAGATACACTTTACAAGGAACATATTGGAAGAAAAGGGTAAGTCAAGTTTTCCGGTTCTGTGTGAATAATCAGACGCTAGAAAGGATGCCGATCGCAACGTTCTTGTTCAGCATATGAAAGAAAGAGAAAGATCGTACTCAAGTCTATTATTTTTCATGTTGTATGACGTACGAAACTTCCGTTAAATTTAAGAAAAGCACAACTACATACATACATATCGGAAAGACAGCAAAAAATTTACTAGATTAAAAAAATATACAAACTGAAAAAACCTAACAAAGATTTTCACATAAAGTGAGATGTTTAAAATTTAACAGGATTTCAAGCGATAAAATTTGAAAAAGAAATGCGCAAATTGTACACTTACTTTGACTAATTGGGAGAATCAGACAAAATTGAATTTCAAAAGAGCTGAAGAATCATTAGTTTCTCAGTTATACTATTAATCTATATCATTTTAATTGTTCTTTAACAAACTCTTGCTTGTATTATACGTCTTCTACAAATTTCGTTTGTAGTCGATTTGCTCTGATAGGAAAATCATGTTCTCCTTTAATTTAACAGGATCTGACATACAAGATTAAATCTTTCACAAGAGACATTCCCAGCCAAGAGAAACAGCGTCAAATATTCAAGAAATCCTTTGATATGTGGAGTGCTGCTTCAAATATAAGAGTCACGGAGAATCCATACGCCAACGATAAAGACGTTGACATTCATATCAGTTTTGTAAACGGGTATCACGAAGACGCGTATCCCTTTGATGGACAGGGCGGAACACTGGCGCACGCGTTTTACCCACACAACAACTTGGGTTAGTATACAAACAAACGGATAAAAAAACCATTTGTTTGCATTTCGATTGACAAGTGTCATAAACCAAAACCAAAGTAATCACAAAAGCCAATCAGAACAAGGGAAAAGTATAACAACGAGGACTCGGCCAATGAAAATTCGGATTTTAATCAAGAAAACAACTCGAAGCGTGGGAAAACGCAATTGGCTAAAGTCGTGATTGGTTTTAGTCTTGAATCTGATTTGATGAGAGGCTGGCGCGAGTTTCAAGGACAGATCATATTGCGAATTAAAGCAAAATCCCAGCACTACCGGCTTACTTTGGACACTAAGTCGAAATTGCTCTAAAATAATGAATCGGAAATAATTAACAAACTAAAAAAACACAGATTAAGAAATGAGAAGTGAAAAGGAAACGCGGAAAGGAAAAGGGGAAGAATGGAAATATGGTAAAAGATGAAATGGAAAGTTTAGAAAAGTTTCAGAGGGAGCTTTGGAACGGGAATAAGTAACGATCGGACATTGTGAATGGAAATGTAAAGAGGAGAACAAGAAAGGAAAATAGTCTTTCAATTGTTTTCTTTGTTTTGTTTGTGTCTCTGGCAACCAAGTTGGAAAGGATGTTGTAAAACCGCGAGAACAAGTCAAAAGAGACGCACGCGCAAGAGGTTATATTACTCCAATGCATTTGGATGAAACATTTGTAGATGAGCGCAAAATCTTTTACTCGTCTGAAGTTTCTCTCCTAGCCTTATATAATTAAAATTGTCTATATTTATCTGTGTTTTACAGGACTTTCGGGTGACGCACATTTTGACGATGCGGAAAGATTTACCACAGGGACATCTGACGGCATCAATTTGGACTGGGTGGCTATTCACGAGTTTGGACATTCTTTAGGTCTGGAGCATTCTAATGTGCGAGAATCTATCATGTACCCTTGGTACAAGGGTTATGTTCCTGATGTAAAGCTCACTAATGACGATATCCTGGGAATACAACAGCTTTACGGTAAGTGGCCAAACAAGCTCTTTTAAAGCGCAATTCCATTCATTGTTGCTCAGCCAAAAAATATGACGAGGAGCTTGTGACAGCTCAAAGTATAAAATTTCTGATGGTTTAGTTTTTCTTGCAACTATGGTTAAGGGAGTAACACGATCGAGTTTTTTTCAAATTAATTACGCAACTAAGTTAGCAAAATAATCTCTATAAAAACATTTCTTTCGATATTCAACTGAAAATTTGTTTCTAGGAGTAAGCTTTTGTAAAGTAAGGGCAAAATCAAACAACGATGGTGAGAGCTATCGAGCAACGAGTGTCTCATACAAGAACGTCATTCTTTCATAGCTATGGCGCAAAACAATATGTTTCAAACGCTAGCCATGCTTCGCAGCGTTTTTTTTGACTGGAGATTCTTAATTTATTTTTTCAGGAAAACCCATCAATAAACCAGGACCCACAAATGGCCCAGCTGCGACGCCAGCACTAACAACCACTGAACCTCCGCTCCCTGAAGAAAATGATGTTTGTTCTATTCCTACCTATGACACGTTCTTTATGGGCCCTGACAGGCGCACGTACGCGATAAAGGGTACTCAATACTGGATCATCAAAGATGTTCCTGGTGCAGGCCTGGAGAGTGGACCTCACAGGGTTAAGGACTTGTGGAAGGAACTTCCTAACAGGATAGACGCTGCCTACACCTTCGGTGGTAACAGGCTGGTTTTCTTCAGCGGATCCAAGTGAGTGTCTGTCATTAATTCAGCTCTATCAACTTTTCATCATAAAACTTCTACACAGTTCCTGGCATTCTGTGGTCTTTTTCGCAGTTGTTCTTTTAATAGGCGACGAATATTTTTTTCAAACTTGTCGTGTAAGAAGGATACTGCATTCCAAGAGTTAAAAAAGTGCGTTTTATTGACCATTAGTGTTTTAAGTTGCGGCAACATGAGTTTTTCAGCGTACAAATTTCCTTAGTGGGTGACCAATTCCTGTTTCTTATACCGTCTTCTTCAATTTCCTGTGGAGATACAACTGAATGACTATATTTGATGTCATGCCATAAGCATCTTCCATCAAATACTTTCGTGTGGGGAAATACTAACTTTTCTCCGCGTGTTTTGATCGGTTAAAGTATAAAGGTTCGGCTAACTTTGCTGGTTTTTTTTGCTAATTCTGTTTTCTCCTCTTAAGGTATTGGCGTTATTACTACGACAGCGGCCGTGATACATACAGAATTGAATACAAAGAACGTGCTATCACAGAATTTGGACTACCAATGACTCTAAAAGACATGGACGCTGTCTTTACTTGGGGAAGAAACAAGAGAACGTATTTCTTTAAAGGTGACAAGTATTGGCGCTACAACGGCCGCACGATCGATTCTGGTTACCCAAGGAGCATCAGTGTTTGGGGAGGAGTGCCGGCAAATTGCAATTCTGTTATGAAATGGAGAAATGGCAAAACGTACTTCTTCAAAGGATCAAAATACTTCAGACTCGATGATTGGAGGATTCAAGTTGAGGCTGATTATCCCAAGAGTATAGCGCTGAAATGGATGAGATGCGAGAAAGAGAACTTAGCCGTAGAGAAAACCACTGAAACAAGCGGGGTGGACAAAGGAGTGAACGGAACACATAGATACACCTGTGATCATGATCACGAAGTCTCATCTGGGTCAGCGGTCTATCCAAGTGTTTTTACAATTTGTTTAATGGGTTTAGCTTTTCTTAGACAGAACTTTTAATTTGGAGTCACTTTTGTGTAGCAGCTTAGGTACTCGATCCCGATAAACTTTGAAATGATACCTTGCTGTCAGAGTGGCTAAAGTTGGAGACGAGCGTAGCTGCAAACACGCGATAAACGACTGTTTTATTGAAAAAGGACGGATTGCGTGACAAGCTACACATAAGTCACGCCACAATTCTTCCTTAAGAACCGAAAGCTTACAAACCTGGCTTTAAGTGTTTAGGAATATAATTTATTGCATTTGCTTCCATCATTTTTTATACCAACAGCAGACGTTTTAAAGTTCTTCTTCTTCCAACTTTTCCCTAGGAACTGAGCAGTAGAGGAATTTTTTTCAAACTTAGGCTGTTTATAATTTATTTTTACATATTGTGCCATTTCTATTTTAATCTGTCTCTCTTGTACATATGAATAAAGGGGTAAGTTTCTAAAGAAACTGTGGTGCTGCGTCGGTGGGAGAGTATAGCAGGTAATTTAGTGTTAACAACTGGGTTGAAAACGTAAATTAGCCACCGTAAAGGGTAAAAAAGCTGACGTTTCGAGCGTTAGCCCTTCGTCAGAGCGATTAGACCCTAATCGCTCTGAGCGGTGGATTATTTACGTTTTCAACCCAGTTGTTAACACTAAATCTCTTGTACATAGCTATGAAAGTTGAGAAACCTCTCAAACTTTAAAAATTAATTTATGATTGAGGAAAAAAAAATTGAGCAAATTGACTATCCATCAAAACCAACAAGTTTCTATTGCAGACCATACGCTGCAAAAATGAATGTACATGTGTAACTTGTTCTTATAATAACATAGATTCGAATGGTTTATATTTTCTATTGAGATTATTTGTAATTTTTGAAATCAATTGATGAAATGAAGACTATCACCACTTATTGTTACTTTTAAATGTTTAAAAGTTTTTTTTTTAATAAAATGTTTTACATAATGTTTCAAAGAACAACCTTAAGCATGCTACGACATGCGAGAGTATTTTCTTGGGATGGATTCGGAGGGACAATTATCCTGCTCTTTTCGCGGCTTCCTTGATTACCAAAGGGTACAGCATATTTATGTTTCATTGTCAAACCAGACAGTCCAACAACTTGGTCAGCCATAATTCAAATTAAAGAATTACTACATAATTCAGTCACTGTGTGAAAAATAAAATTAATCAAAAGGATCGTTTTTTAATAACTCCTTCAATAAGTGCACACATTCTTTTCAATTAATTATTTCTTCCTTCATAAGAAGCCTCCAACAAGAGGATTACAGTGAATAAAAGATAACTAACACAAAAAGAAGACAGATTAAAGCAACCACAACGGCTTTTTTCCTTGTGAACTTAGATCAACCTCTTGGGTTCTTCACCTTACCTTAGGGCATGCTGATGGGTGATGACAGAGTGAGAAACTCCCATATTTGGCCTATATGTAAATGCATGGCCCAAAGTGGCATAACTTTTGGGGACTCGAGTCTTCACCAAAGAACACTATTTAGCATCTTGAACGTGGTGTTCCTTTGAACCTGTCACCTTGTACATGGTCTATAATTTGGAAATCCATGGTAAATGCATGGGAGGTGTAAAAAAAGTATTTACAAAAATATAATTCGATAAATCTGTTTTAAATTTCCTCGATGTGGATGTGGCCCATATGAACAATGTAAAAAAATCTGTTAATTTTTTTGCCTTAAACAAAATGTGATGTTAGTTTGAATAATGGTTCTGGTATTGGATTAACTAATATTAACCTAATTGACATTTTTATTTATTCTTGTCACTTGCCTGCCTGATACTGTATTGATGTTGTAAGGAAAAATTTAGTCTCGGTCACAGGTAAAGTGTTACAAATGACTGACATTTTGAACACCTGAGTGGAAGTCTTCATCTGAGTCAAGTGAGATGTTGACTTCTGCCAGGGCTGTCAAAATGTCAGTCACTAATAACGACAACAACTGTCTCAGGAACTTCAACCATGACAATATAACTAGATGATAAACTGTTTCTCTTAGGTTCAAAACATTACCTATCTATATACTATCACAATTGTAGCATATTAAAAATGCATGCAAAATTAATTTCTTCTTTCATTCTAGAACTTCACCACAAAACCACAATAGAAGAATAAACAGGGTCAATAATACTAAACAGTCATTAAAACTAAATGTTAACTTGCACCTAATCAGCAACATTTAGAATATATTTTTTATGCTGACAAACACTGCAGGCATTTGGAAAAATTTTTTTTTGATTGAATTTTTTTTTCATGAAATGTATGCCACATAACTGTTAAGACATCACCATGTGTTGAAAAGCTTTCTGAGCTACCAATTAACAAGAAAAGCCAACAAGTCATTTGAATTGGAAGCAGTACCAATATCCACTTCCTGTAAGAAATAAAAATGAAGTGAAATTATTATGTTAAATTATTTTTTGCAATACAATATGCACATATGCTACCACAAAAATGAGGATACAGTTAATAACAATCAAGTGGTAACTCCAAATGTTTTTCCGGGACTCATTCAACACCGAAACAATCATCCACCAAGTGGAGTCTCTATGTGCCACTTGTAGTTAGTTAAATTTGAAAACAAACTTACATTTCCCTCCTTTTCAACCACTGCTTTAATAGAAAAGTACATTTTTGCTCCCTACTGAACTTTCAGTCATTTTAAACAACAAAAATATCAGGCTGCAACAATAACAACAGAAAGATTCCAATCTGTAAAGTTTTCATACTAAAAGCTGCTGGGTGATTTTTGGGGGGTGGTAACTGTCGATTTTCAAAATTAAATAATTCTTTCCTGTTAACAATAAAAATTGAACTTTGCTCGACATTCATAAGGAGATGTACTTAGCAAAAGACACATGGATTAGGTACAGTACTTACTTTTGTTTCAGCTGGAGCAGCTTCTTTGGAATCATTCTGCTCTTTTGGGGATGAAGATTTGCTGGCAGCTGATGACTGTGGCATCTCAGACTCAAGATTTAGTTTACATGCATCTTTCTTCTGTGGTGTTTCTTTAGCTACACTTGAATGATTTTCTTTGGGTGGTGTATCTGACAAAGGATTCCCTCTATTTTCCTTTGAATTTGTCTCTGACGCAAGACTTGTCTTGCTTCCTTTTGAAGGTGTGTCAGACAGCAAATTTCTCTTATTTAATCCAGGAGGTATGTCTGATGCAAGACTGCCTTTACTTCCTTTAGGTGGTGTTTCTGATATAAGACTTGCCTTGCTTCCTTTAGGAGGTGTGGATGCAAGGCTCCCTTTGCTGCCTTGGGTACTATTACTAGGGCTAAACTTCTGACCCTCAAGAAGAAACTCTTTTCGTGACAGAGGCTCTGAACCAGGCAAACTCCTGCTGATGCTTGTGTCTTTGGAGTCTGTGTCAGAGTCATGTTGTTTCTCTGTTTTAACCTCAACTGGTACAATTACAGTATTTAGTGTTTCTAGATCAGCTTCTAGTGCACGTTTTAGTTGCTCTTCAAGTTCTCCCTCCTCCAGTAAATGAAGATCTTGTTGGCTCTAAAGATAATTGGAAAGAGAAATCGTTGTACAAAATTTAGCAACAATTTCTCCTGGTACAGCTGATGAAATTAGTGATAACAGTGATTAATGTGTGATGCAGAATGCAAGTTTAAGGGCTTATTTCTGGCCCATGACTTTTGGAAGCTATGAACCATCCTCCTCATTACATGCTTTTGAAAGAACAGCCCTAAAGTTGTATGTAACTCTGATGCATTTGCAGCCTCTTTGATCAACTCCTTATGTTTCAACATGGTTTTGTCATATTATAATGAAAAATAATGGTAATAGGACTGAGTAGAGTCTAATTCAGTCTGTAATCATACAAGTGATTAATCGGATGACTGCTAGACAGAAGTCTGATTTGTCAATCACGAATATGATTACAGACAGAATTGGACAACAGGAAGTCCTTTTACCAATTGATTATAACCGTTACAATTTCTGAAAAAAACAAATAAATTCCTCCATTTTGGAAATTCTCCAGTTTTTTTTTTCAGGATAAGTGGATGTAGCTATGATTCTAATCAATTCTGTGATTGGTGGATTTAGCTGTTTGGACTTAGTATGATTGACTGCTTGTCCGATTACAGGAGTCCAATTACAGCCAACTGTCCAATTACACTGTCCACTTACAACTGTACAGAATGGTTAGTGAAATATAAAGAAGCTAATGCATCAATTACATTTAAGGAAATTGTAATGGTTATTGGACTTGAAATTGTCCAAATGTAAATACTTATTGCAAAATACACATCAGTATGTGAGGTGTCACCATCTTGGATGTTGTAAATAGTTTTTAAATGCACCATTACCTTTGCTTACACCAGCCCCTCCCCAGCCTTCCCAGTCCACAGCGATGCATTTCATAAGTCATTTTTTTATATCACACTGCAATATTAACTTTTTTAGAATAGCATAATGTCACTTGATAAAAATGAAAAAAACATTTAGTGAGGTGAAAGGATTAAAACATTGATAATGAAAATGTTTGTTAGGGTATGGAACCACAACAACCAACACACTCCATAAAAAAATTCCAAACCACAGACTGCAAAAAAAAATGCATTATCAACACTCACTCGTGTTTCCCAGGACCATGGAGATGAAAATTGATCTTTGGAATGGATATCCTATTAAAATAACAAAACAAAATAAAAATGGTATAAAAATCACATAAGGTGCTCAGTCACACAAGACACAATGATTCCATTGCATAAACTAACCACTTGACTTTTCAAAATGTTAGCAGAATGCAATATAGGTACTTGTTTAAATGAGTAGGTATACATCACATGTATATTAGCAATAATTAAGATTAAAAATAATCAAAATACATACATTAAAGCTAAACAAACTGAACTGTTACAAAAAATAACTGGATAAGTGTGTTTGTGTAAAAGGTGAAAGTACTGTTGGTTTAATAGGATTATAGGAAATTGAGTTTGGGTTTTGGGCCAAGAGGGTTGGTAATCCACAAGTCTGGGATTTGACTCCTCATATACAAGGGGTGTGGGGTGGGGGGAGGGGGCTCAGATCTTTTTTTTGTATTGCACTCATGATATAAAGGGGTAACAACTTTTCCTATTCAGTGACTGAAACCAATGGCATCTTTCTTATTCTCTCAACTTTACCTGATAAAGATTTTATCGCCAGCTGCTGTAACATGCATGTTAAAACACATTTCAACCCTGCCAGGCACCCAAGTTTGGAGCCTGCAGTTGCATGTACTAATAGATTTTTGTGCTCACAACTAGCTGGAGAGCTAAGTTCACAATCAAGTATTTCACTCAGTCTTATTTCACATTCACAAAGTATGTGAATTAATGCTTGCCAGTCTTCAAAAAGTTCAACCTCCCTAGACCATTCTAGAATTCCTGTTGGTGGCTCTAAAAATTTTAGTCGCAAAACTTTATGTTAAATTTTGTGAAAATTACACAATAAAACATCGACGATCTTCGGCCGATAC